AAGTTGAGTTTTGCTTGCTCATTTTCCCTGGCTGAGTATTATCATTAGGTAGTTTGTAGATTTAGGTGAGCAAATGGCGAGTATGAGGCACTTCTGTTTTGTTGTAGCTCTTCACCAGTCTCTAGTGGTACTTTTAATATCAAAACACTTGAGAATTGGATAAAAGTACTGTTTCCTGCAATTCCTGAATTTGTGAAAAGAGAATACTAAAGTTTTTAAATAGCGCATAAAATTCTAGTGTTTATTCCTTGCAGTACCTTTTAATGTCATTTCTTAATGTTGGCATTTATTTTCATAAACAAAAGTTACAACCCATTTACTTGTTTAGTTATAATCCCAGTTGACCACAGACTTAATGTTGCTTAATGTTTCTGTGGCCTCATGTTAGCAAGTGTTTTTTTCAGTGGCTTATTGGAAGAGCTTTGGCCCTAATGTTGGGATTTGGTGTGTATTATTTTAAAACTAGAAGCAAGTTAGAGAAGGCTTTTTTACATTTGGGGCAAAAAAAAATCCAAAAAACAACAACAAAAACCCAACAACCACTTTTTGTGCCCAGTAATATTAGATGATTCTTAGAGTGTCTGTTAAGTGACCTTTTGCATAAGCATTATTGTCTTAAAACTTTGGGATCTCTGAAATCCGTTTATGATAACTTTAGGGGATATAGAATAATGGAGAATCTAGCACTTTTAAAGGTAAGTTTAGACTGGCTTTTTAATTATTTCCTTGTGTTACTGTATTATCTTTTGAGAAACCTAGAATCACAAAATCTTGAATTCTTGGCAAGTATAGATTTTTCATTGTTGAGCAGACTTTTGCAGTTTCCATGTAAAAACATGTCCATTTATTTTGAGAGTTCTAATGTGCTTTGTTGGCAGGAACTAATTTATGTACAAATGCCTTTGTAAGTAAATTGGAAACAGTTTATTAAGTGGTTCAAGATCACTGTGTGCCAAGTCTCCTGCCAGAGTTTTTCCACTGTTATAATTTTTGAAGTAATTCTTTCAAAATAAGACAGCTTATTTGTTCACACGAACATGCAGAAATAGCTCTGTTTAGCTTCTCAATACTATTAAATTGGTCAGCTGGCTGGTGCCTAAGTGTAGCTTGTTTCTCCACTGGCCAAAAGAAGTACTTTATGTTATATACTTTCCAAGGGGTTTGAAAATTATTTCCACCTTTGTTGGACCACTTAACTTTTCATGCTGATAGGAGCCAGAAATAGATAGAACAAGAAAATTACATTGAGGTGGCAAGGGTTCCCCCCACTCGGGAATGTCTCTCATCTATCTTCACTCTTTTAATCCAGTGGAGGGGAAGGCCTTGAGCTCCAGATGGGCTTTGATTGGTTTGTTTCCCGGATTAAACAACTGCACAGTCCTGCCTGTTTGTGGTGACATTCATTCTTTCGTTGATTCCTGGTCATGGGCCAATGTGATGTGGGACTTCAAAACTGCTGAGCTTTATAAGCATTGAACACTGCTTATTTACCAGATGAAGTGCATTAGCAAAAATTCCTTTTCAATCTGAATATTTCCTTTGAACAATCTAACCCAAATTTTCCATTGAAATTTTGGCTTTAGACTGCTAGCATGGTAGTAAACTGCTCTCTGGCTTTTGGATTTTATTAATTATTTTAGCTTTGTATTGACAATATTGTACCCTTATTTTAAAGAAAGATACCAATTGTCTCAGCCAATTTCTGGGATTTGGGAAAAGAAGTGTTTACAGAGTTCCATAAATAGGGTTTGTTGATACTGTTATCTTTGCAGTATTAACGCTCTGAGCACACTCCCACTTCAATTAGTGCTTCAGAAAAACTTAATCTAGCTTATAGGATAGCTTGTGTGTGAAAGAAAATTTAGAGCCCTCCATTTTAAAAGCTTTCTTGCTTTGCATAAACTTGAAAATAATTAATTTCAAATTTGTATTGATATTAAAACATAGATTCAGTCTTGTCTTAAAATGTATTACAATTTATTTCTTGCCATTTTTGTGTAAAATTTACAGAAACAGTGTTACACCGTGCGCTCCAAAGGTAATGTCTCATTACTCTAAGGCTCTCTCCTTTCTTTCTCTGTCTTTGCCTTTATCTTTTTGATCATATTGTTATGTGCATTGAATCCTGTGTTAGTATATTGAGTCCTTTTAATAGTAATAAGAAAAAAATCTTCTTGCTTGATCAGAAAATGAACTTTGGCCACAGTACATTTCAGACAATCACTAGCTGGTTAATCCGGTAAAAAGAAAAGTTGAATTTCAGTGGCTTATTTCCACTAAGCTCCTATGAATGAAAAAGATATGACTGTAATGAATTTATTAAATTGCTTTAGTGCAGAAATATCTTTTAAGTAAAACCAGTAACCCATGTCTGATGAACCTGAGAAATTGGGAGTAATGTGTATGGAGGTGTTTTGATCTTTGGTAAATGCTTTTTATAATGATGACATTGTATGTGTGTATGTGTACTTAGAAGAGACGAGTTCCTTAATCAGTTTTGATTTCTTAAATTGTTAATTTTTTAAGCTGTGATTTTGAAACATGAATGTAATTAGTTGGATAAAAGTTCTTTGCCCATTTTAGCTTCGAACATATCACCTGATTTTTTTGTTTTAGCCAGTTTGGCTTGTCTCTTTAGCTATTCATCCAGATTTTGTGCCGAAGCCCAAAGAGGAAATGCAGAAAATGTTGACTGGGCATTAAAAAATCCGTCTCACATTAGTTTTCTTGACTGTTGCTAGTTAGACTGTGCATGTAAATTTGAATACATTTCACTAATTCTTGTTAAATAATTTAACCCCTTTTAATACAGATTTGCATTTTCATGTTCTGAAGTGCAAATGCGATTGAAATTTATCTTCTTTGTTTAAGCTTGGAAGGACAGCTAAAGGAAATTCTTTGGAAGAAATAGTTGCTTTTGCTTTCAAAATAATGTTTTCCTCACCATGATAATAGCTCACATTTCTGTAGCACTTTAAGTTTTATCCTGTGAAGTAGGTAGTACACAGCTAATTGGTGCAGGTATCTCATTTGCTTTCACCTTCTGTCTCAATTGAATTAGGATTAAAACGTGATTGTGTCACAACTCTTTCATATTCAATTTGGGGCATAGCAATTTGATTGCTAGAGTAGTGGTGTGAGTCAGCAAGCTGTATTTCAGCATTCTCTCCAAAAACTTTGCCGTGAACCTACGTTTGCCGTCATGTTTTAGGGTTGAGTGATACATAAAAGAATCAAGTTTAACTTATTTTAGAATACTCTCTAATTATTTGTCCAATAGAAGATGGTTTATGAAAATTATGACAGGAGAGTTGGAGGAGAGAGCTGTATCTTAGCCACATCATCATGAGAATTGCCTGTGATAATAGTTTCTATATCTATTGTCCTTTCCCCTTACATAGTGGTCCCTAACATTTACCAAGTGTTTTTAGATTCTCTTGAGTGTTCTAACATCTATCTCATGATATAACAATAGTTTTCCCTAGAAATTTGTTCTTCCCGTTTTGAGTACATTTTGGTGACTTATAATAATAGAAACATTCTTATGCTCAGAAGTGCTTATTGTCCAAAGTAGTATCTTGATGCTAGTTGATGATCTTAGCATTTTATTGTGAATTACTAGTTCTCTGCATCTCTGCTTGCCTGTATTTTAAATTTATTTTTTAACCACATTGGCTTGAGTTTCTAGTTCCCAGAGTTCCAAGCATAATTTAAGACTTGTGGTTTTGGAATGCAAAAACAGGTTCTTCTTGATCTTTTTTTTTTTTAAGTTTTGAGAATTTTTCCTTAGCTATCACTTTAATTTTATTTGACCAAATAGCATCTTCTGGGTGGCTGAATTTATTTGACTATGAGCATGATCATGATTATTTTTTTTTAATGGGGGCGTGGTCTAGTGGAGAAGACAGCATTTAAAATAAATGACTTTTGTTGCTGCTATTGAAGTCATGGGTTTTTCCTTCTTTGGTTTGTAAGCCTTAGAATTTCTCTAAAAAGTGAGTAAGAAAATTCACTTGGGATAAGTTAAAAAGATTACAACTTTTGTGCAGCATGGAATTTATCCAAATACCTGTTTCTCCTCAGAAACTGAAAGGCTCATGAGATGTAATTCTGTGTCTATCTCCTGTTGTTTGGCTGAGTCTTGTTTCAGCATCAGTTATATAATGTGTACAACAGGGTAAATAGCTTATGTTTAAATTGTCATGATCATAATGATGTATTTGCATAGCATGAGCCTGAAAACGCTGTTGCTCCAGCAGAAGCAGGAACTATTACGTTTTTTTTTCCCCCATGGTCCAGAATAGTGTGTTGTAAAGGGCCATGTGCTGTCTAGGTGTGACTTGTTAACTCCCTGACAGCTTCCCCCCCAGTATTTTCACAAGATACTGAACTCTGCAGAGAATTTCACCTTTGCTGCCAATAACATGAATACCAAGCAAAGAAGAGAGCTGAACGATTCTTTGAAAAGTGCTGTCTAAATCTCCCTGAGGCTTGCTTAGTATGGATGGATTCACTGATGTTTTTTTTTTTTTTTAACCACAGACTTGGTATGGAAAAATAGTCTACATAGTGGAGAAATTACTTAAATTTGTTGGAGAAATGTTGGTAGTACTTTTAACTCCTTGTAGAGCAAATGCTAAACTGCTTTATTCTTTTTAATTATCCTTATTGTCTTAAGTAGTTTTTCACATGTGTTTGTGGGCATGAGTCTAAACCAGATGTGTATTATACATGTATTTTTTCCTAAAAAAAATTTCTTTGGTAATTTGATTATATAAGTCAGTATAATGTTAAATTTCAAGTTTTGAATTCATCAGTAAAATGGATGCTGTAACAATTTTAAGGGTTTTTTTGACAATTGAATAATTGATTTTTTTTTTACTTTTCTCTTTACCTTCACCTCTTTTATTTTCTACACCATTCACTTTAAATCATTCCACACTCTTCATCTGAATGCCTGGGTTTTGCCATCTTCTTCATGTTGATGTTTACTTAAACAGAACCACAAAGCCCGCACCACACCTGGATGGGTAAGAGTTGTCCATTTTCATTGGCAATATATAATGTTAGGGTAGGTGAATAAGGTCCTTTGAATCCTGAGCTTATAGCAATGGAGCTGTTCCCGATTTGTACATGGACTTGATGGTCCTCTTCTTTGGTCTCCAGAGACTCATAGAATGTTAGAACTGGAAGGGTCATGTAGTCAGTGCAATTGCTGGTGGGGGAAAGAGGCAGTTGGGGTTAAGTGACTTGCCCATGATCACACAGCTAGTAGATGTCTAGAGTCAGATTTGAACTCAGTTCCTCTTGACTCCAGGTCTGATGCTTTCTCCACTGTGTCACTTAGCTATCCCAGTACATTGATTTTTAAAGATGGAAAAACTGTGGCCCAGAGAATTTTAAGTGACTTGGCCAGGGTCATTCAGCTATTAGAAAATTGCAGAGCTGGGACTTGGATTTGAGTCTCTTGACTCTTTGTTGAGGGCTTAGTTTCTACGACTGCATATTGGCCACATTGGCCCTCCTCATTGGTTACAGTAGGGAATGTTGTGCTTTTGCAAAATCCAAAGCACTTCACAATTATTATGACATTTGACTTTGATTACGAACATATCTCCAAAATACTAATTTAGAAGATTGGTACAGATTCTAAATTTAGATTCTGTTTGCCAGTTGAATGAGATATTAGATTCTCCTTTTAATTAGGTAATTATGTTTTTTGCAAGACTTTTAAAGTTATTATCTGGCTAATGCTTTTTTGAACTTTATATTGTTACAGTGTACATGTTGTCTTTGGATTGGTTATTTCTGGTTTTGAAGTGATTGAACAAATTGAAAATCTGAAAACTGATGCAGCAAGCCGACCATATGCAGATGTACGAGTTATTGACTGTGGGGTGCTTGTTACAAAATCAGCAAAAGATGGTAAGAGATTTTCTACCATCTTTCAGCCTTCTCTAGTCCCCTAAAATAAGTTGCTGAAATAAATGTTAATATTTTCCAATTATCTTGGGGAGGGGTGTGTGTGTGTGATGGTAGAATAAAAAACAATGAACTTATTGCAATGAAAAACCTGGGTTTTTGGAGGGGGGGGATTTGTTTTGGTTTTGCTAAGCTTTAAATTCTTAATAGCCAGAAGGATTTAATGAATCACGTTTTTTAGCAGTCAGAAAAATTGAATCAAAGTTGACTTTAAGATAAGATTATATCCAAGGTGTTCTAGAAGTTTTAGTGCACTTTTAAGCTATCAGATGTTAAAAGTGTAATAAGTCTTTTGGAACACCTGTATTTACTTGGTTGGTCAATTAATTTAGTGTCCTTTTGATATGAAGGAAAGTCATCCCAAATCTGTAAGTAAAAAAAGCACTTTTCACCTAAATAATGCCAAGAACAAATTCTAGATTCTTTGGGGCCTTAGTGTTTTGATATTAGTGAGGGTTCTATGAAAAATTATCTCTGCTAGCGTAAGTTTTCCTCTAAAATATTAAATATGAAATTCTGTTTCAAAATTTGGACAATAATTTTTCAGTATGGAAATACATTCAGTCTTCTTCCATTTTGTGCCAGTATTTTCTGACTTCTCTCAGTCCCTTCCTTTCTCTCTCTTTCCTTCTCTCTATTTCCCCACAAATGTAATGTATGTATATATACACATTCACACCCCTCATGCCACAGTTATAGGGGACTGTGAACATAATTTCAAGCTCCAAAGTCTGAGAAACACCAAGGTAGGAAAATGTTAGTCTTTGATCAGGTGAATGCCAGGCACCTTGTCTGGACCCTGTTGTCTCATTAAGCTGGTAATTCCGCTTTGGAGTGATATTTTTTTCCTCTCTTCTTCCTAAGCAAATTGGGGGTCATGTTTTAACACATGAATTGTATGTATGAATGTGTGTGGATTCACTTTTAATACAGAGGCTTGGTTTGGGCACTGTACACTGTGCATGAACTCTTGCATTTGGGAGGTGACAGGAGCAGGTTGGATAAAGTATGATAAGCCCTCCATTTTCACCACTTCTAGTTTTCATCCTTTTATTTCCTTTTTTACAATCAAGGACTAAAAATATCTAAAAACCAGCTAGTAGACAAACATCCCCTTATCCATATTGCTTTATTCCTAAATCTGTATTTGGGGATTGGAAAAACAGGACAAGAGAGTAAATAGCTTTGTTTTTTAGTTTGCTCAGGTGTGCAAGATCTACTTATTGTTTTGTCTAGTTTTAGATATTTCCCTCTAATTACACAGTTTTGCAATCATATTTTTCATCAGTCAGGCATTGTAACTGTCTACATTTTGTTAATGTCTCCTACAAGCTGTGGAGAAAAAGCGGAAGTTATCAACTCATTCAGAAGACTCAGATTCTTCCTCCAATTCATCCTCCTCTTCAGAATCATCTTCTGACAGTGAAGCTGAAAATGAGAGAAGTAGAAGAAGAAAACACAAGCGGAGACTCAAAGTGAAACGTTCTAAAAAGAGACGAAAAGAGGAGAGTAATAAGCAAGAAGAGCAGAGGATTAAACAGTCATCAGACCAGAGAGGGTAGGTGATAACGCAGCATAGGCTTGTAGAGAGATGGGATGGGCAGGCACATAAAAGCCAGGTATTACACAGAGGAGTATAGTTCAGAAAGCTTGAGTCAGTTCACACAGTGAAAAATTGTGGCATTTTTGTTATCATTAAACTATCTGGAAAATCATCACGGGCACATTTTTTTTTTTAGGCAGTTGGGGTTAAGTGACTTGCCCAGGGTCACACAGCTAGTAAATGTCAAGTGTTTGGTCTGAGGCCGGATTTGAACTCAGGTACTCCTGACTTCAGGGCCAGCGCTCTGTCCTCTGCACCACCTAGCTGCCCCTACAGGCACATTTTCTATCCAGATGCATGGGTTTGATGATGGAAAATGTCTTACGACCCCTAGGGAGAAAATACAGAGAGAGAGAGAGTGAGAGAGAGAGAGAGAGAGAGAGAGTGTGTGTGTGTGTGTGTGTGTGTGTGTGTGTGTGTGTGTGTGTGTGTGTGTGTGTGTGTGTGTGTGTGTGTGTGTGTGTGTAGAGCAAGAGCAAGCACTTTTTATTTCCATGTACATGTTTTTTTTTACCTGGATTGGCTAAAATTTTTTTTTAGACAAGGAAAAATATATTACATTTGGCCCTTGGAGGATAAATGACTTGATTATCTTTTGTGAAAGAGCTTTTCTGAGATTTTGTGATTTGTGGTTACCTATATAATTAATTTACAGTTGACCTTTCTGAAGTTTGCCATCATTTTAGCATTTGACACTTTCCTGTGACTTTTCCTATATTTCTTATGAAGTATAATTTTATGCATTTTAATTGGAGATGGTTTCATTTGCTTTATTTAAGTCACTCTGAGAGGAGTGATACAAGTGAAAAAAGAGTGGATTTAAATACCAAAAGGGAAAAGCCAGTAGTTCGTCCAGAAGAGATCCCTCCAGTACCTGAAAATCGATTCTTATTAAGAAGAGATATGCCAGTTGTCACTGTGGAACCTGAGCCGTAAGTAGAGTGGTTTTTAATCTTGTCTTTTTCTGGTATGGGGATCCCTTCAGCTCATGTTAATCGTGTTCCACTCCTCCCTAGAGGGTGAGAATTTAAGATCTTTAATAAAAAGCTATAGGTTCTTAATACTCCAAACAGAGAGTTAGAGTAGGGTGTGTATCTTACTCCCTCACAATCATTTTATGTCTGTAGGAATGTTCCATAACCACTTGTTCGAAAAGAATCATCTCAGAAGGGACAAGGAAGATTGATGACTAAAAAGCTCTAATCATATTTGATTTATGAATCAAATTTAATAGTTGCAAATAACTTAGAATTTTAATAGTGTAAAATTGATAAGAATCATGACTCGGAAAGTAGTTGGTGCCACAGATTCCTTTCAACTTGCCAGTCAGTGACAGTTTCCTTCTGTTGTAAAAACAAAATGTTTACATCATTCTGTTATTGATGTTGCATTGGCTAATTCAGTTCTCTTAGGAGCCTGTTTGTCTTAACTTAGACATTTATATTTCTTTTTTTGTTTGTTTTTTATTTATTTATTTATTTTGATTTATCAGCAATCACTTCCATAGGCTTTTGAGTTTTAAATTTTTCTCCCCTTCCCTCTCCTTGTCCCTCCCCAAGATGGCGTGCAATCTGATATAGACTCTGCATATACATTCCTGTTAAACATATTTTCACATTAGTGATGTGGTAAAGAGGAATTAGAACCAATGGGGGGAACCATGAGAAAGAAGAAACAAAACAAAACAACAACAAAAAAAGAGCACATTGTATGCTTCGATCTGCATTCAGACTCCATACTTCTTTCTCTGGATGCGAACAGCATTTTCCATCATGAGTCTTTTGGAGATGTCTTAGATCCTTGCATTGGTGAGAAGAGCCAAGTTTATTAAAGTTAGTTATCGCTCAGTGTTGTGTACAGCATTCTCCTGGTTCTGCTCACTTCACTCAGCATCAGTCTGTGCCTGTCTTTCCAGGTTTTTCCAAAGTCCGTCTGCTTATCATTTCTTATAGCACAATAGACATTTATATTTCTTAAGGCATTCACTTCTACCTGTGCAATATCTGTTGCATCTGTCCCCTCCTCTTGCATTCCACAGCAACTACCCTATCTTTTTTCTCCTGGACTCTATATAAGAGAATAATTAGACTAGCCTCTTAATTGGTCTTCCTGTTTCTTTTTTATCTCTTTTATATTCGCTTGTCTCCTTCCCAAAGCCACCTGTGTAATCTTTTTATTTTTCTACTGTAATTATGTTCCCCTTCTCAGAAACCTATAGTAATTTCCTATTGCTTTATCAAAGAAAGCATAAACCCTGATCCTGCATCAGAGCCTTCCACAGTGTGGCTCAGATCAATTTTTTCAGCCTTATCCCTTCATAAAAGATTTATTAAATTCTTTATCATATTCCCAGAACTGGAGATACAAGTAAAGGAAGTGAGATGGCCTCTACTGCATTTAAGTTGCTTACATTATACAAGGGGGTCAAACAAGAGTCGGTAAAAGGGATCTTTGGGCTAGGCAGGGATAGGGTTTGTGAGCAGAGTCATAGGGCAGTGTCGATTATCATGCATTTTTCTGTAGTAATGGTAATAACTGATTTCATTCTTGTTCCATGAATAAAGGGTGGGAAATGAGGTTTGGGCTGGGTTGGTAGACTTCTGCCAGAAGGGCAGACAGCAAGATAGCCATGCTGGCTAGATCCTGGTGGGATAAATCATGATGTGGAGTGACCCAGATCCAGAAGACTGAGTTGAGTGAAGGCTCAACTTGTCTCTAATCTAAGATAGCTCTGACCCAGAGGAAATCCAGAGTGTAGTGGGTTAACTTCTGTCTGCGTGGAGGTGTGGGTAGTGGGTAGGGGCGCATTTAGGGTTAGGGAGTCTAATATAGAGAACCAACTCCAGAAGTTTGGTATGACTGACTGGGATAAAGCATGCTCTAGGATAGGCTAGATAGAGAGGGCGTGAGGTGAAGATCGCTTTCCCCTTAATTCAGGGTAGCTCATGTTACCTCTCATCATACACTCTGTGTTCCAGCCAAACTGGACAGACTACTTGCTCTTTCCCATTCTTGTCTTGCCTTCTCTCACTACACCTGTTCCCAGTCACAGGTGAAAGTAATGTTTTCTTCAGCAGATTTCTCGTGATATGCTGCCTAGACCTTTTCCTTTGTAGTTTTCTGACCTTCATTTATATATAGTTATTTTTGTCCAAGTTTCTCTGCCCTTCTTCCCTTGCCAGTTAGATTATAAGGTCTATAAGGAAGGAAACAAGCATCTGTTAAGTGCCTGCTATGTGCCAGGCCCTCTGCTTCAGACTATTTGTGTCTTATCCATAATGATATTCTTCTGCCTAGCATGTACTAGTGCATGGTTTATGCTTAATAAAGGCTCATTTAATTAAATTGAATTGGGGTTGGAATAATTTGAATCTCAGTTAACAATCATAGAGGAAATCTGAATGAGAAAGTTCACTGTCACAAAGTCCATGCTGCATTTTACTCTGCGTGAGAGATGAGAATCACTATTAGGTCCATTAATTTAAAATTGTTTGTAAAATAAGGCAGCAGATTATAGACACTGCAAATACAGTTTGACAGCAGGGAAAAATAGCAGTTGACAGGAAGGAATGGGACAGAAGGACTAGAAAAGACATAACTATTAAGTAGCTGCTCTAATTTAGGGCTCCTTAGCATAGAGGTAGATAATTCACATTTAGATAAGCAAAACAATTATTTTTATCCCTATTTTTCAGTGAAGAAACTGAGATGTAAAGGATAATAGATATAGAGATATAGGGGACTTTAACCTGTCTAGTTTAATTTTACGGATGCGGAAATGAGGCCCAGAGAAATTAAGTGACTTGTCTGATGTCACAAAGATAGTAGCAGAGCTGGCATTTGAACCCGAGTCTTTTGACTCCAAATCCAGTGCTTTCTATTGCACCTTGCTGCTTCCACCAGCAGCTCTCAGAGAAGTGAAGGGATCTTGCCCAGGTAAATGGCAAAGCCAGGATTTTAACCAAGGTCCTTTGGCTTCTGAGCAAAGTCCAAAAGTCTTTCTAATATAGCAAGATGCCTATTTCATTATTCTTAAAGGTATCAGAGTTATTACATACAAAATAGTCCAATAACAGATGTTCATTGTAATGAGCCTGAATTAGGAAGAGATGACATTGGAGTATACTTTATGAAGATAGGGAAGTGTGTAATGCATTTTAAAAAGATTTCCATCAAAAATAGTTTAAATAATTTTGGTCTTCAAAGGGTTAAGATGCAATTATTCAACAAATTCCAGACTTGCTGGTTATGATGTGTCAGAGGTCCTGCCATGTTCTTAACTTAGAATATTCAAGAAATAAAAGTCTTAGTTTTCATTTCTTCATTTCTGTTACTTTTTTTCTCCTTTGCTGTAGGAAACTTCCCGATGTTACACCCATTTTAAGTGATCAGAAGCCATCTGTATCAAAATCAGGACGGAAAATTAAAGGACGGGGCACAATAGTATGTATCTTCTGAGTTTTCTTTTTACAAGTTACTTGTATAGGTGCTATGAGATCTGTTTTAATTCTGTAACTTCAAGAAGTATTTATTAAATGCCCATTATTTTCAGAGCACTAGGCTAGACCCTTTGGAAGAGAATTCAGATATTAAAATGGATCTGTGATCTAATCAATATGGATATTGCCTCCAGATGCAGATCATAATACGTATATGCCTGTCGGTCTTGTGTGTCTCTTATCTATGTTCTGTAAATTTGCCACTGTGGATTCACTCAACATGTTAAGAGTCTTCATTTCTTTTGCCATCACCAGAAAACCAGTAGAATTCACAATTATTCATCACTCAGTACATCAGCTCTTCTTTTCTTTTTTTTTTTTTCCTTTCACAATATTTTTTACTTTAGCTCTCTTTGGTAATTCCTGGTTTGTCCTGTGTGGCAGCCTATTCACATTTGTCATGGGCCTCTCCTTTACACATTGCCTTCAATTCTTTGGAGACTGTGCTGTTCTGTGATTCAAAGCCCTAAAACCCTGGTAAAATTTAATATTAAGAAGACTCGGGGAGAAGCTGGAGATATTAAAATGAATTTGCGGTTTCTCAAAAGCAGTCCAGCTTGCTGTCTTCTTTCTGTTCAATATTGGTACCAGTTCATTGTGCTTTTGTAGTATCTATCTAAGCTATAACTAGATCTGCATGTGGATCTAGATAGAGATAGATATAGATATAGATATACACACATTGATGGACGACCTCTGTAATTAATCCGTTTAATTATCCATCATAGGCTGATTGATAGCTGTCCATCCACTTTGTTTTTCCTATATGAGTAGTTAGGCCATACTCTTTTTTTGTTTGTTTGTTTGTTTGTTTTGCTTTTAGGCAGTTGGGGTTAAGTGACTTGCCCAGGGTCACACAGCTAGTAAGTGTCAAGTGCTTGGTCTGAGGCTGGATTTGAACTCAGGTCCTCCTGACTTCAGGGCCAGTGCTGTATGCACTGTGCCACCTAGCTGCCCCTAGGCCATACTCTTTTGAATGACTATGAATTTCATCTTGGGGTTTTGCAGTGTTTAAAGTTTGATGCAGTTAGCACAGTCTTCAAAAACTGGAGTATCTGGAATACCTCACCCTCTACAGAGATTTCCTTTTGGACTTGGATCAGATATTGTCTATGATAATAACACACATCTTTGCTAGTGATCCATATCTTGGTTTTATACCTTGCCTGATATTAAAGATCAAAGAGTTATTGAACAAAGTTATCTTTTATCATTATATTAAGGATCCTGTGTAATTTTGATGTGCCCAGGAAACTTTGTGGTCCTTTCATGTGTCATTTGTTCTACTGAATCAAAGAATTTTTTTTGTAATCAGTGAACAAGTACGTTGATAGCTTGTGTTCTGTCCATCATTTGGTTAATTGTGATAGTAAAGATGTGATCTCTTGTGGAATGTTCCTTTCTGATAGCTCATCAAGGATGACCTCAGTATGGGTATGGATTATGTTCATAAAAATCTTATATATATGGAAAAGAAGACATGTAGATTGAGTATCGATGGGGCAGTTAGGTGGTGTAGTGGATGGAGCACTGGCCCTGAAGTCAGGAGTACCTGAGTTCAAATGTGGCCTCAGACCAAACACTTGACACTTACTAGCTGTGTGACCCTGAGCAAGTCACTTAACCCCAACTGCCTTAAAAAAAAAAAGGATTGAATATTGATGATCTGAGTCATTTGTTTATAGTAATGAAGTCCAAGTTTGTTTTTTTTGTCTTATCCTTCTTTAGATGCCTTGAGAATCTGCCTCTATGTAACTTCTACCCACCTCTCCTACTTCTGTCTTCTGGAGCCAAGCTGGACAAATCTAATTCCTCTTCATGTGATAGCTTTAGGAGGAATATAAGGGCTGCTCTGTGGAAGAACTAGAATTTGTGGTTTAGTCCTTTTCAGTCATGTCTGACTCTTTGTGACTCCATTTGGGGTTTTCTTGGCAAAGATACTGGAGTGATTTGCCATTTCCTTCTCCAGGTCATTTTACAGATGTGGAAACTGAGGCAAACAGGGCTAAGTGACTTGCCCAGGGTGACACTGCTAGTAAATATCTGAGGCCAGATTTGAACTCAGGAAGATGAGTTTTCCTGACTCCAGGCCCGGCACTGTATCCACTGCACCACCTACTTGGCAAGAACTGGGATTAGATTAGTTTTAATTGGCCTCAGAGAATAGAAGTATGAAGAATGGGAAGACATAGAGGTCAGTTTCCCTCTTGAGATAATGGAAAACATCTTAACAATTACAATGATTGGATGGCCTAAGAAGTAGTAGGGTCTTTCTCACTTAAGGTCTTGGAGTAAAATCTGGATGACTACTTGTTCAGGAGATTGTAGAGGATATGTTGTTTCGGGTATTGGTTCAACTATACAGCCTTGGAGGTCCCTTCTAACTCTGAAATATTGTATTTCCCTGTAGCCCTTCCTCTAAGTAAGAGGTCTCCCTTCACATTTCACAAAGGCATGATTTGTGCCTCATATACTTATGTGTTATGGTTATGCATGTGTCAGATCTTCCAACGTATTGTGAGATCTTGGACAAAGAGACAGTGTCTTATTTAATTCTTTTTTTTAAATTAATTTTCCCCAGGGCAGAATTGAGTGGGATTATTACCTCTCTTCTGGGTATTATGCCTTTTTTAAGGCAGCCTAATAAGATCCCATTGGCATTTTTGGTGGCAACATCTCACTATTGATGATTCACATTGAGCTTTCAAGCAACCAAAAGCAATTTTTTTTTTGGTGAGGCAGTCAGGGTTAAGTGACTTGCTCAGGGTCACATAGCTATTAAGTGTCAAGTGTCTGAGACTGGATTTGAACTCAGGTCTTTCTGACTCCAAGGCCAGAGCTCTGTCCACTGTGCCACCTCACTGCCCCCAGAAAGCAGTCTTCTTCAGATAAATTCTGTTTAGTCATTCCTCCTCTGTCTTTTTAAAATATGAGTATTGGACTTTACATTTATCCCAGTTAAATGTAATGTTATTACATTCATCCAAATGTTTGAGCACATAAGAGTTTGAGGCTAGACTTGGAGTTAAGAGGGACCTGGGTCCAAATACTGCTTCTGATACTTACTGAATGACTAAGGACAAGTCACCTGACCTCTCTGAGACTCAGTTCTCTGATCTATGCAATAGGGATCCTAGTACTTTTAGTATTCTACCTCATGTTGCTATGAGGATTAAATTAGATAAAAGAGACATACGTTGTTCTACAGACTTTAAAGCTCTGCATCAAGGTGAGAGTTTTTGTTGTTCTCTAATAGATTATATAACCCTAGTTGTTATCATTTCTCTAATCACAAATTCTAAGATGGAGTGGTCACTTCCCCAGCAGGTTCCTGTCATTTCTATTTTAGCAGTTCCTCCTTGTTGGTTGGAATCTGGTCCAGAATAACAGTTCTCATCCTTTATTCTAGCTTTTGAATGATGAAATTATCATTGTGGCAAGCCAGGAAATGATTAGCTTCTCTGCTTTTGACATAGAGCATATTAACACATGTCCAGATAATTGAAGTCCTCCGTTACTAATCTGTCCTTGTCTCAGTGTCAGGCTTATGATCTGTTTCCTGCATTGCTCAATATGTCCTTCTCCTGTTTGTAACATACTCTTGTCACTTCATTGCCTCTGTTTCTCTTTCCATTGAATTTAACCCGAATGTTCTGAATTGTATCTGTTTTCCTCTGGTTTCTGGATGCACATGAGTGTATCTTTTTTAATGTATAATGTTTATTCTACCATCTCTTCTCCTCCTAGAGTCATATTTGAATTATGGATCCCATTGCACCAATCAGTGATGCTCATGAAGGCACATGTACCTTCTTGTAGTCGGCTTTGTAGCTCCTTTTGCTTGTCACTACATTTTGTACATAGCGCCTGGTACTTCAGGTTTTATTCTGGGTTCCTTTTTTTCTGGATTTTTGTTTTTCTCCTGTGAATTATTTGGTATCTGCTATTTTACCTATATTACAGCTACTTCCTACAATCAGCTATGTTCTTTCTTTTCAGTTTAAGACTCTATGTGGTGGGGGGGTTTTTTTGGTTGTTGGGTTTTTTTGTTGGTTTTTTTTTTTTTTACCGTTCCTTGTTAGGGGACTTAAGTATTAAGTTTACCTCTTCTGTGTAGGAACTGGGCTTTAGAATTGGATTGTATTGAAGTTCTGGAGATAGGGAACAGCAGGACTGTATCCGATATTGTCTTGTACCAAATTCTACTTAAAAGCAAACTGTATTGTAGCGAGTTGTTTACTTAGACTTTAAATCTTATCTTTATTCTTAAAGCGGTATCATACACCACCTCGATCAAGGTCTTGTTCTGAGTCAGATGATGATGAAAGCAGTGAAACGCCTCCTCACTGGAAGGAAGAAATGCAGAGGTTAAGAGCATACAGACCACCCAGTGGAGAAAAATGGAGTAAAGGCGATAAGTAAGGGCTTTTATTCTTTTCCCACTCCTCCCCCCCCCCCTTTTTTTTTTGGTGAGGCAAACAGGGTTAAGTGACTTGCCTAGGGTCATACAGCTAGTAAGTGTCAAGTGTCTGAAGGGCTTTTATTCGTAATGGAGTAATTTCAGTATTTGTATGAATGTCTTTGGTGTCTGCTGTATGATAAGTGCTAGGAGGAATGAAGAATTAGAGATGGCCTTTTTTTTTTCTTTTGTGAGGCAGTGGGGGTTAAGTCACTTGCCCAAAGTCACACAGCTAGTGAGTGTTATGTGTCTGAAGTCAGATTTGAACTCAGGTCCTCTTGACTTCAGGGCTGGAGATGGCCCTTTTGAAGAGCAAGTCACAATCTAAATTAGAGTGATGTAATGTGAGGTAATTATAGGAATACACATATACATATAGTAGATACATACATTTCATATATATATGAATAGGGACCTTAGAGGTCCCTACTGTTAGTGCTCTCTGCACTGAAAATACTTTGTATTTCTGGAATCAGGAAGAACCTGAGTTCAAAATCGGCCTAGACACTTAACTGGCAGTATGATTCTGGGCAATTCATTTAACCTTTGTCTGCCTTGGTTTCCTCATCTGTAAAATGGGGGTAATAATAGTAGCTACCTACAAGGGTTGTTGTGAGAATCAAATTATGTATTTGTAAAGCATTTTGCAAACTTCAAAGCTCTATATAAATTCTGTTTGCTCCATATTGTGTGTGTGTGTGTGTGTGTGTGTGTATGTGTGTGTGTGTATGTATATGTATTCATGTTGTTTTCTCCTAGTAGAATATAAGCTCATTGAGGTCAAGGACTGTTTTATATTTCCATTGACTAAGATGTTACTAGAGGCAGAATAGGCACTCACTGACTAAATGCTTCAATTGAATAATAGTAAAAGAAGTAAGTATCTAGTTCAACCCACTCATTTTGCAGGTGGGGAGAGTAAAGACCAAAGGAGGTAAATAACTTGCCCAGGATGACATAGGTAATAAGTAGCAGAACCAGGATTTAATTGCACTTCAAATCCAGCTCTCTCATTACACCATACACAGTAGTATATCCTATTTAAAAGCATGGTCTTCTACCCATTAATTCTCATCTGTTTAAGGAATGAAGCCTTTTCTAGAATACCTGGTCAACATATGCACTAAAACCCCAAATCAGGTCTATGTGGTGAAATCTCATCTTTGACTCTAATGGCATCTGCGAGTTGTATCTAAAATAATGCTGAGGCAAGTATGTTCATGGAATTATCCCAGGTACTAGGTACAGTCCTGCTTTGGAGGGAGGACATGAATTGATACTCTCCATAGAATCATAGAATTTAGAGCTGTGAAAGATTTTTTAGATTCTCTAGTCTAGGTCTCTCATTTTTTATATGAGGAAATAGGCCCAGAGAAGTGAAGTGATTTGCTCAGAGTCACATAGGTAAAAATGTAGTAGAGCCAGGATTCAAACCCAAGACTTCTCAGGTCACATTCTAGAGCTCTTTTCATTACACTGTGTTGTCTTATTGGCATTACTTCTAAGGAAAGCCTTAAGTTCTTTTCATTACTTTATTTTCTCCATGGCACTAGAGAATCTTTGTGGTTCTTTGATTAATCTCTTGCAAAGGTTTCTTGTGGTGCTATGCATGTATTTGGTTGTGAGCAGTTTTTTGGTGGTGGCAACCTAGAATATTTTTGAACATAAAAAATTTAATGAGATGATGTGCTGACTCTGTGTCCTTGTTCATAGGTTAAGTGACCCATGTTCAAGCCGGTGGGATGAAAGAAGCTTGTCTCAAAGATCAAGATCATGGTCATATAATGGCTATTATTCTGACCTTAGTACAGTAAGACATTCTGACAGTCATCACAAAAAACACAGAAAAGAGAAAAAAGTAAAACATAAAAAGAAAGCTAAAAAGCAGAAACACTGCAAGAGACACAAACCAACCAAGAAAAAGAAAATCTCTCAACTTTCAAATGTTGAATCCTCCAGATCTTCAATCCAGCAAATGAAATCTCCTTGTGATCGAGAAAGGAGATCTCATTCGTCATCATCATCCCAGCACTCATCTAAGAGGGGCTGGTCTAAATCTGACAAGGATGAGCAAAGCTCTTCAACCCAGTATAGCAGAGATTCTCATTCATACTACAGATCAAAATCCCAATCTCGTTCATATTCCAAAGGAAGCTCTAGGTCAAGGACAGCATCAAAGTCCTCATCACTTTCTCAAAGTAGGTCAAAGTCCAGATCCAATTCCAAGTCCAGATGTCAGAGGACAACATCTAAATCCCCCAGAAGTACAGCCTCTCGATTAAATGAAAATAAACCAATCAAAACAGAGCCCATAAGAGCAGCAGTGCCACCAAATGACAAGGTTGTTGTGCAGCCAATAGTAGCTGAAAGTATTCCTGTAATACCTTTAAGTGATAGTCCTCCACCTTCACGATGGAAACCTGGACAGAAGCCCTGGAAGCCCTCTTATGAACGAATTCAAGAAATGAAGGCTAAGACAACACATTTACTTCCTCCCCCAAACACGTACAGTTTAACAAATGTAAAAGAGCCCAGTATTTCATCGTCTTATCGTAAGAGGGAAAAGAGTTCAGATAGCGATTGGAGTGGTTATTCAAAATATCATAGTGATAGAAGTTCAGAGAGTTCACCAAGATCAAGAAGCAGATCTTCCAGAAGTAGGTCTTATTCAAGATCATACACAAGATCAGGGAGTCCAGCTAGCTCACATTCAAGGTCTCAGTCTCTATCAACTCCTAGATCCCATTCACGAGGCAAATACAGTGATAGATCCAGATATAGTAGGTCATCTTCATATTCTGTTAGCAGTGATGATGGAAGACGAACGAAAAGAAAATCTAGAGCCAATGAGAAGAATATTATTGATTCAAAGAAAAGACAGGTCTGTAGCTCTGAAAGAACACTTAACAATAAGTATGTCAAAGGTGGAGATGAGTCCTCACGAAAGAGAAAAGATAGTGAAAGCAAGTCTTCTTTAGACTATTCTTCAGATAGTGAACAATCATTTGTGAAAGTTACACAGCCAAACCTAGAAAGAGAGAAACATGGCCAAGGAGAAGGTACCAATAATAAGAAACAGGAAAAAAGTGCATCTAATAACAGAGATGAAGAGAAATCAAAGTCTGAATGGGATAGTGATCATTCCAAAAAGAAGGTGTTAAATGAGAGTTCCTCTGACTATCTTCTTAATGGAGAAAAATCCAAAAGGAAGAATTATGCTGGCAGCAGATGGGACTCTGAGTCCAATTCAGAGCGAGAAGTAAACAAGAGTAAAGAAGATTCTAGGCCAGTTTCTGATAAAGAGGAAGGAGAGGCTACATCAGAATCTGATGTAGAGTTTGTGGGGACCTTCACGAAGGCCAAACCCGCGCCAAAATCTTCCGAAAGCATCCTTATTTCAGATAGTGAGAGTGCTTGGAAGCCAAGCAAACAGCACCTATCACCTTCCATTTCAGAGAGCTCCCACTCCAATTCTGAAAACCATCGAGGAAAATCAAAGAAACACAAACACAGATCAGAGAAGAATGTTAAAAAAGAACACACTAAAAAGTTGAAAGAGAAATCCAAAGGAAAAAAAGAGAAAAAACACAAGGTTCAGAAACGAAAGGAAACCTTTCATTGGCAACCCCCACTGGAATTTGGTGAAGAGGAGGAGGAAGAAATTAATGAAAACCAAGTTACCAAGGACATAAAGGGGAAAAAACAAGATCTTGAAAACAGTGAAATTATCAAAGATAAGAATATGAAAACTGAGAAACTCTGTGGTGACAGCAGCCACTCAGGCAAACATAATGTGATTAACACTTCAGCAGATTCTAATCCATTCTCTAAAGACAATGGTAAACCCAATGCTTCCACCAGCGTTTTAAATGCAGAAAAAAGTGTATCCACTTCCCAAAAAAATAATCAGCATGTTGATGAAACCATTCGAAGTGGAATAGAAGATGTGGTGCAGACAGATGATAATATGGAGATTTGTACTCCAGAACGCAACTCTCCTGTAAAGTTAGAGATTTCCCCTCCAAGCAATCTGAGTTTTGGTACTCCAGATATAAATACTGCTCTAAACCAGGATTTGCAGAATGAGAATCTGGAAACTGTGGTTATTAATCAAGAAAGCAGTATGACTGAAAACAAGACCGTGAGTGAAGTAGGAAAGCAGGAAGGTAATACTCTTGGATTCGCCAGTACTGTTGAAAATTCTGTTAAGTCAGACGTGAGTGAAAGAAGCCAGAGCAACATAGTTGATAATAAATGGAAGCCTTTGCAAGGCGTGAGTAATCTGTCATCAACTACAACTTCCGGTGCTATGGAAATTAAGACTTTACCTTCTGTACCTGACACAAAACCACAAGGCCTGCGCATAGAAATCAAAAGCAAAAACAAAGTTCGTCCTGGTTCTCTCTTTGATGAGGTGAGAAAAACTGCACGGCTAAACCGGAGACCAAGAAATCGAGAGAGCTCTAGTGAAGAGCAGACGCCCAGTCGAGATGACAACAGCCAATCCAGGAGTCCGAGTAGGTCCCGGAGCAAGTCTGAAACCAAGTCAAGACACAGAACAAGGTCCGTGTCCTCCAGTCAGTCAAGAAGTCGATCTCGAAGTTCTACTTATTCTTACCGGTGAGCAGTTTTCTGGTTTCATTTCCTCTTCCTCCTCTCATGCTCCCCCCCCCCAAAAAAAATATTTTCTCCATTTGATAAAATGTCAGAGCTGGGAGACATCTGAACAAAAAATGTTAGAATTAGAAAGGGGCCTCATGATCACCTAGTCTAACCTCATTTATAAATGAGGAAAGTTGTGACTTGCCTAATAATGTATGGATTCATTTAGAAGGAAAACATTAAAACAAATCATCTTTAAGACATTCTTCAGATAAACTGTCAGTTGACAAAGTTGTGAACATTTCCAAGAAAAGACACCGGTAATAAGGAGCAAGGAAGTTTCTGTAAATGTCCGGCTTTGCGTTCCCAATAGTCTATATGGTGAAAAGAGTGAAACGAAAAATATTTAAGTCTGGGGAAGAGCACTGTAATGGAAGGGTGCTGACTGGCTCCTTTTCTGGTTTCTTATAAAAAAAATTTCCTTTCTCTTCAGTTATATCTTATGTCTCATTACGCATCCCTTTCTACTGTATTTCAGTACTAAGATGAATCTGTTATCTCATCAGTGCAGTTACTTCCTCTGGTTGTACATCTTTTGTTTTATTTTTTCAGTTAATGAGCATTTAGTTTCTTTCCTTACCTCCTCCCACCCCCTTGGGAAAAAAAAATAAAAACGGAACCCTTATAAGAAATTGCATAGTTAAGCAAAATAAATTCCCACATTGGCTGTGCAAACATGTATGTCTCATTCTGTATCTTGAGCCCATTACTTCCCTATCAGGAGGTAGGTAGTGTTTACGATAGGTTTTCTCCATCAGTTCATCTTATAACTCCTCTACTTACCTTGAACCTCTCTGGCTGTGTCCTTTTATAAATATTCCATAGGAAATCTTCCTCTAGGTCTTTTCATCATGATATAGGAACTAGTGCAGCACTCAGCCTGTTTTTCAAGACCCGTCACCACTTTTTCCACTCGTACATTTGGTTGCTCTCTGTTATACCACTTCTGCTCAATTCATCATCATTAGTATGACCCAGTTTAGTCAGAGACACCATATGTCCCCATTGCTTGTCAGATTACCTGCAGTTTTAATCATTATAAGATTGTGATGTAGCAAGATTTTCAGCATTATAGTATCAGAAGATAATTTGTGTTTAAAAAGATGGTCTTTTGTGTTAGGCAGGAGGTTAGGATTGATGAATGTCCTGTGCAGTTTCTCAACTGTAATCTAACCCTATTTCTTCTTCGTCTTTGATTCTTGACACAGCTTATTCATTATCCACCTGCAGGGTCTTGTCCTAAAGTGGATTCATGGACTAGCTCAATGGGCTATCCATTTAGCTGCGTGTTATACCTTGGAAAAAAGGTATTCTTTAGTCACTTGAAATTTTTTTTTTGTAGATTGTTAGGCTGAAGTCCTGGGTGTTTATGTATATCACTTAGGAGGCTCCACAGCATGCCAAGGCTTAAAGTAAATAACATGATGTCATCCACAGACATGAGCATCTAGAATCCTTATCCTCCCAGAGTTCAATGGACTCTGCTAGCCTTAGCCTCCATGACAGTGACTTATACCTTTGACAAACATTTCTTCCTGTTGGTATAGCCTTTCTTGATAATGATGCTCAAAAGTCACCTCTCTCATTGGATTTATTAAAGAATCATTTGTGATCTGAACATATACATAGAAGACATCTCATTGCAAGAGAACCTTTAAAGCTATATCTGGCTCTATTGAATCGAATACTTTTTTATCATTAAAAAAAAAACATTCCCTGTACCTTTCAGTCAGTTGTGTGATTATGAAAAATATCTATTGTAGAATATCCTTTGTGAAAACCTGTTCTCTTGTCATGTTTTCATCTAAGATAGCTTCAGTATATGTGTAGATCATTATTAAAATTTTTATAAAGATTAAAATGTGGGTACATGGGTCAGTGTGGTATGAAGGTGCTCATTCTGCCTTTGTCTTTAGTGCCATTTCCACTTATTCAGTTTGCACATCAGAGAATGAGATACTAGAGTCCAGGTGTGGTAGTTCCATTGTTACAGAATCACAATTTCAGGATTGGAAGAGATTAAAGAGATTCCTTGTCTAACCTGAACCTAAACAGTACTTGAACAGGAAGCCTGTTCTTAATGTCCCAGATAAAGTTACTTAGACGTCCAGTGATGGGAAACCCATTGCTTTCAGTGTAGCAGTACCACATTTCAAACTACACTACAAAACAGTAATCATCAAAATGATGGTTAAAAAAATAGAGAAGTTGATCAGTAGAACAAATTATAGGTACGCAACGCTGAGAAGCAGATGAACTTAGTAACCTACTGTTTGAGTAAACTCAAAAGGCCAAAGCAATTGGGTTAAGGGCTCACTCTTCAACAGAAACTGCTGGAAAAACTGGGAAGCAGTCTGGCAGAAACCAGATACAGACAACATATCACATCATCTGCCAAGATAAGGTTCAAATGGATGCATGACATATACACATTAAGGGTGACATCGTAAATAAATTAGAGAAGCAAGGAAGAAAGTAATACTATTGTGTTGTAAAAAAAAATGATGAAAAGGATGATTTTAGAGAAACTTGGGAATACTTGGGGACTGAGGTAGAGTGAAGTGAGCAGAACCAAAACAATTTATATAATAACAACAGTGTAAAAAAGAACTTTAAAAGCAGTGAGAACCCTGATCAGTGCCGTGATCATCTGTGACACCAGAGGGCTAGTGATGCTACATACTGTTCACCTCCTGACAAAGAGGTAGTAGATATCGCAGAATGAAATAAATTTTTTAGACATGGCCAGTGTGAGAATTTGTTTTGCTTGACCGTGCATATTTGTTACAAGAGTGCTGCCCTTCTCCTCCTCCCCCAATACTGGGAGGATAGAAGGGAGAAAAAAAATTTTTTTTCAATTAAAATTTTTTAATTAAAAAGTAAAGTAGGACAGTAGTTTGAGAGGGGGATAAACAGGATCAAGGGAAGGTTTGTTTTGGTTTCTGTTTTTGGAGGGGGTTTTTTTTGCTTTTTCCAGAATAGCAATATTCCTGCATGTTTTATAGTCAGCAGGGATTTAAAGGACAAGCCCTGTGAGGGAATGGTATCAGAGGTATAAGTAGAGGGATTGGCTTTTCCAAAGAAAAGAACCACCTTTTCCCCTGGGACTTGAACAAAAGAAAAGAGGTTTGAGGTTGATGGTGAGGGGATTTGAGGTATAGAATTGGGCAAAAGAGAGTTCTCACTATGGGATCCAGTTTTCTTGATAGGGTGAGGTCCTTTACTGAGAGGGGGAAGGGGAAAGAGGTGATTTTATTGGCTTAAGAAGAAAAGGTTTAGAACAGATAACTTTGGAAATTTAATGGGGATAGAAGATTAAAAGATTGTGCATCAGTGAGGCCTCAGTTGAGATTAGAGAACATCAATTTGTTCATCAGTAACCATATCAGTTTTCCAATGTACTTCTTCTAGATGTTCTTAATGTATACATTTACAGATAGGTATATGTGAAACTTCTGTAATCTAGAAGGCTTTATCTTTCATTTCTTCTAAACCATATTTTTCTGACATTTTTTTGTCATCCTCAGTGCCTGCCTTTGACTGAAGGTGCCAAATATGGAAGTATTGACTTAGTTTGAAAAATTTCTCTTCTCCTTAGCCACTGCTACAAATTTCATGATAGGTTTTTTTGCTTATTTATACTATGTATCTTCCACTACTCTGTATCCTCTACCACCATGAGAATGAAATGTCTTAATGCCTTTGGTTGTATGAAGAAACCAACTGTACCAACTCCTTTCCATCCTACTTCAGCTTCTTTATTTCTTTGGGTTTCATTTATGAATGAATAATAAAAATGTATAAAGCACTTGTGATGTTTTCAAGTGCTGTGTATGCTAAGCTGGGCATACAAGTAATAGGATAGTCTGTGCCCTCAAGGAGCTTCTACACTTTCCAGAGAGGGAGTAGTGCCTCAGAGGCTGCAAGAGGCAGAGAGAAGTGTACTCCAGATTGAGGTCAGAGGGCAGCAGCAAGGCTGACAGAACAGGGGTTGCTTCTTCTAGGAGTAGGTTGGCCCAAGCAGTTTTCTTTTAAGAGTACTAAGAGTTAAATTGATGTTGATAAGTGGTATAAAAACTGACTCCTAGCATCTTCTACCCCTTTTCTGCCCTTCTGCCACTATCACTGTGGTTTTTCTCTTTGTCTTACAGCTTTTCTCCTCTAGAACACTTTTTCTGTTTTTCCTTTGTAGTCTGCTAATAGTCTCAATTTTTACCCTCTGTAATTGGAACTGTGGTAATTTGAGAGATTGTCTCATTACCTGGACACTGTCTTACCTTCCGAGTTAGCCTCTGTCAAGAGTCCTTACGTAAAAGTTCTTGGGAGGTTATTTTGGAATCTTCCTTCTCCTTCACCTTTCCTTTCTAATTAGTTACTGGGTGTTATCAGTTCTAGCTCCTTGATCTCTTGTATTTTCCCGTATACACATTGCAGCTACCACAGGACAAACCTAGTTCCCCTTCCTACACTCTTCCCTCTCCATTTTTTCCTTATGTATAAACCTGGTCACATTGTCCCTTTTCTCAAAAAAAAAACCAAACAAACCCTACTGACTTCCCATTAATTAAAGTAACAGACTTTTTCTTAACATTTCAAAACTCTCCACAAATGGCAATATTCTATTCTTCCAGGTTTATCTCATTTTAGTTTCTTTCACAAATACCATTTTGTGTCCTCCAAACTCGTGCCATTTTTTCCTATTTCTCTGCCTTTGCTTGTGTTATTCTCTTATAACTCTTTGCCTACAAATTTTTTTTTAATTAAGACAAAATTAAATCTGACTCATGCCATTTCCTCCATGAAGCCATCACTAATCCTGTTAGTTGGTAACAGCTTTCCCCTTTGACCCTTGCATATATAGCTTTGTCCTTTGCCCTTGATAATGGCTTATTTATTATGTCTTTGTCTCCTACCTAGCCCCTTGACAGCATATGAGCTCCAGGCAGTATTCGGATTTGACCTAAACGGCATGTCACCTGGACTTAGCATGAGACTTTCTGTGTATGGCCAGGGGTTAATAAATGTTTACTGAGTGAGTGAATGAACGAAGAAACACAGTTTTCTGTTAATTTTCTTGTTCTGAAATCACCTTTTTCACAGCATAAAAAATGAGCTATTTTATGTTCACTGATTTGGTTGCATATATTCATACCTCATAAACTATTTCTGAATTGTAGTTCAAGAAGTTATTCCAGAAGTCGGAGCAGAGGATGGTACAGTAGAGATCGATCACGAAGTCGCAGTAGTTCTTATCACAGTTATAAAAGCCACAGGTAAGTTTCCCTCAAGTGGAAAACCATTCTGTAGCATAGATATTTTTTAAATCCTATCATTTGATGTTGCATATAGTAGGCTCTTAGTGAATGCTTGTTGACATCGATCTGTACGCTGTCATCCTACAGTCACTGTTGTCTCTTCCCAATAACTATAAAAAGACATAAGGAGATAGAAGCCAGTGAGGAGAAAACGGTAATTGGTGAACACTAGACAGAGGACGACTGAGCTGAGAAAAAAGATAAATAAAGAAATGATTATATGTGTACAGTCTGTGTGCCTGTTCCTAGGTCCTGATGTTCTTGTGTTGGGGAGGGAAAATAGAAACCCTCTAGCTAGGGAGCAAAGAAAGGAAGCTAAGGATATAGACCCTCGGTGTCTTCACATTCTTCCAAAATTCTGTTTTTATCCAATTGCGTGTACTTGTTGATCACTGGTAGAAGGGTGTGTGTGTGTGTGTGTGTGTGTGTGTGTGTGTGTGTGTGTGTGTGTGTGATGTACGTACATACATACGTGTATGCACTTCAAGCCCAGAGCCTACCAGTTTCTAGGTGTTCCCTAGATCCTTTTTCGTTACTTCTCCAGACCCTTAGCAGGATGTGAACTCCCTTTCTCACAGGGTCTGCAGATCCCTTCTATCCACTCTCATCAATTCACCACCCTAACACTAGATATAGCAAACTTAGTGTCATAGTGTTTTATGTAGTACCTCTGTTTCAAAAATACTCAAACAGAAGAGTTGGTAAGCAATATTGGGTCCTTCATGTACAATATTAGTGTATTTTAAAGACTAAAACAGGATTTGTGTGGCTGCGTATTCTAGAAGCTTGTCATTTGAGTTTTCACTACTACTGATTGATAAATATTTGGGTTTCTGTAATTTTACAATAGTCCATTTTAATTAATCTACACAATTTTTTCCCCTGTAAATATTCAATAGTAGGACATATAGCAGAAGCCGATCCAGGAGCAGCTCTTATGATCATCACAGTCGATCCAGGTTCGAACTGCATCTTTATGTAATAATGATAGAGCTGACATTGCTATAGAAATTTAAAGGTTCATTCTCTCTCCCTCATAAATTACTTGTATATGTGCTGTATTCACTTGCATACATATATCCCCCTTGTGGGCAGGGACTGTTCATTTTTGTCTTTATATCTCCAGCACATACCTCAGAACCTTGCAAATAGTAGGTGATTGCTAAATATTCATTGAATTGAATTTATAGAATGCTTTTTTCACAACAACCTTATGAATTAGGTAGTCCAAGCGTTATTATCCTTAATCAGTTGATGAAAGTAGAGTCTCAGAGAGAAAGATTTATCTAGGATTACCCACTTAGTAAAATGGAGTCTATATACTATACTGCATTGCTCAATAGTTGCTGGCATTATTAGTGTTTATTTCATAATCCATTCATTTAAAATGTATTTTATCCTCTTCATAATCAAAATAAATTGAACGGGATTAAATTGTTTCTAAAATTAAAGGTCCTTATCTGATAATTTATGTATCAGTGCATTATGAATGAGTGAAAGAAAAAGTATGTTTCTGTTCTAATGGGCAAACTACAGGGACTGCATAGGGGAGTGGTGACTAGGGAAGGGAGAAGTATCAAAAAGTAACAATTGATTTAAAATTGTAAAGGCAGTTCTTTATGGAATATAATTGCCTAATAAGATCTCTCAATCAATATATTTCACTTTAATTTTGTGTAGTCCCTTTCATTAGGGAAAAGAGGTTAATAGTTTTATGTTTAATATAATGAACCTAACATTTCCATTAATGATAAATGTTTTTGTTACACAGTTTTTTACTTTTTCACTATAAAATGCCTCTTTCAAGATAGAGCCTTATGCTGATATAATTTCTTATAGTAGTGTATATGAATGATTACCTTTGAAGAGCTTTAAATATTTGTTGTTACTGGTTAAAGTAGGTCCTACACTTATGACAGCTATTACAGCAGAAGTCGCAGTAGAAGTAGGAGCAAAAGGAGTGACAGTTACCGACGATCTCGGAGTTATAATAGGCGGTCTAGGTAAGTGTCGATAAGTTGGACTCTTTAAAGTCCCCATTGGTAACTCTTTGCCAAGTTATTTGTGTTAAGAAATGTCATCTTTGTTGTGTCAAGAAGAAGGAATAAGTCTCTGAGTCAGAAATAGTATGTTTCTAATCTTGAATTTAAAAAAATATGTCAGTCTAGATCAAAGAGTTAGCGTTTATTAGTTTTCATTCATGTTAATTTTCAAAATGAATTTTTAAATATTCATACTTCCTTGGACAAACATTCGTTTTGGAAGGAATGGAGGGTAGCATAAGAAAAGCTATGTCCCACTTTCTGCATCAAGGCCATTTCTTAGAAATAATCAAGACTGACAAAGTCAAATGCTTTTTGAAGAGAAAACTAAAAGCTAAAAGAAAATGCTGTGATTATTTACCTTGATTAAAAGATCAACTGCTTGGACCAGTTATTCAGTGAAAAACGCTTTGATAATATATTAAAGGAGCATCATAGCAACATGGTAATGGTTCTTTCTAGGGTACTTGAATGGTAGTAAGCTTCTGTCTTGACCAATATCCACCATTTTTCTGGGTTCCCACAATTTGAAATCACTGACCTTGGGCTGCCATTTAATGCCGTGGTTCACCTGTTTCTCTTTTCATTTAACCATTTTTCTTTCCTCACTCATTTTAAAAATAAAAAATGAAAGCTAATACTTCTTTTGGATTGTGAATTACTTTGTTAAATCACTGTTCTACTGTATTCTTACATGGGTTGCAAAGAATTTACTGGCATGTGAGCTTCCTTCCCTTATTCATTATATTTTAAACCTGGTGTTATTCTCCTAAAGTATGAAAATGCCTGAGAGTCCCGTAGTTGGCCCATTCTGTTCTCACTATCAGGCGGCCTCCCTTTCTCCTTCAGCTTTTTTTCTGATATTCTCAATTTTATGTCTTATAAATAAGCGTGTTGAGAATTGTGCTGTCGGGCTACTTTTATCATATAGAAGGTATGAGAATAGGATTTTGAAGTTTTAAAATTAAGGGGTGTCTGTATTGTTATTTTTGTCCAGGAGTTGTAGATCTTACGGCTCTGACAGTGAAAGTGACCGAAGCTATTCTAATCACCGAAGCCCCAGTGAAAGCAGCAGATACAGCTGAGAAAAGTTCCCTTGGTGGTGCTGATTATATTTCTATTTGAAAAGTATCAAATATGTGAAAATTGTAATGGCAGTCAATCCACTGTTCTGTTCTTCAGTATCAAATGGAAACAAGGGAAACCAGATCCCACTTAATCAGTCTTGAGTTCTTTCAGTGGTGAACAGAAGTTTGAAAAGTACGCAGATCTGTCACTTAAAGAGATTTTACTTTTTGTCTACATTTCACAGCAGCCAACTATGAAAACCAATTTTATTTTCTCAAATCAAGTTTTTTCCCATCCACCAAATTGTATCTCTGTGTAAATTTCATGATTACTTAAAGTGTATACCAAAATATTCCTCATGGAACTTTGGGCTTTGTGGTCTTTTGTTCACATTTTAGTTTCTGGGCTGCCAAGAGTAGAACTGTGAAGGAGAACTGTCAAAGGCTGCCATTTCTCTTTATTAAACTGATTGAAGTTTTAAAACTGTTTATACACCGATTCAGTGGTGTCTTGTACATACATACTCTCGGAAATAAAACCACACAGATTTAATCCCAGTAGTAGCCAGGGAATACAAAGTAATGCCTCCAAGGTTCTTAATTCATTCCTTTCTTCTTTGCCGTCTCAAAGGTATGAGAAAAATGATGAACTTAAAACATCATGTAGTCATAATTACTGTGAGCCAGGGGGTGAGTTTAAGAATAGCGCCTTAACTGTAAATATCATATCCAAATGCACCATCCCTGAGAACTTAATGTCTTATCTGCTTTTAGAAAAAGACTATTATTAGGAGTTTAACCTGTTAAGAAAAAAGTTGCATGTCAGTCCATGCTGTGGTGCTTGGGTGCCCCTTGGTGCCTCCTTAAAATGTTGGCCTTATACACTGTACGTTACAATTGCAGCAAAGGGGAAAATGAAATGTCTTTGCAACACAATGGCATTCTAAGTGGTTCCTTCTGGGACATGGTCCCTTCACCATTCTTACAAGTTTTGCTATGTTCCATATGCTCCCTGGCAATGCCGTTGTGCATGTCGGTCTGACTGCCTAGACCTACTGAATAGAATTGGTGTGCCGGCTGAAAGCATTCACAGAAGTAGGCTTCTCCAGTCAGTGCTTTAAAAAAGGAAACACCACCACAGTGATTCAACCAGTCTAGAAATACATCTCTATGTAGAACTTCTGTACTAAGGAGTGAATTTCTGTGACTTTAAAAATAAAACCCTCGCATTTGTGAGTTGGCATCGATAAGTAATGTTGCAACAGTGTGTTTTTTCAAGGCCTTCATAACTTTCAAAACGGAAAAAGTTGATGTTTTGAGGTAACCCCATGCCCATATTTTTTATAAACAGTAAAATTGGTGTAATTGATTTGGTTTTTGGATTTTTTTCCAGTTGTCCTTAATTGCCAATTCAGACTGAAATGTAACAGATGGATAATCCGATGAGGCATCCATGGTACACTTGGCAGTTTAAAGAAAGGCTTCAAGTTAGAAAAGTCAGAGGTTTTGGAAAACTGTTGGTTACCCTGTCTTGAAAACCATCCTATTATGGAAAAGTGTTTTTTAAAAATTATTTGACTTCCAAACTAGTAGATAAAATTTTATTAGGAAAAAGACTTAATCCAGACTACCATGACCCTCTAGACATTTCATATTAAGTGCACAACAGTGCCTGTGTCATACCAAAAGTCTTCAGAAACTTTGTTGGGAAGAAGACAAACTAAGTACAACTCGGAGAAATAACACATTCAGAACATCAGAGAGAAACTGCCAGATCTAATTAGGTAAAAGTAAAAGTTACTCTTGGGCTGGGACTTCCCTGTATCTCTCAGCCCAGAGTGGATTTTTATCCTGAACTGAAGCATTGCTTGTTTTCCTCCCTCACAAGGGACAACCCTTAGCTGCAGTGTTCAGCTCATGTGTTTACTGAAGTGAATTACAGAAATAGCTTTTCTTCTTAAAGGACTTGTTCTGTATTTTGGAATTATTTTTGAATAAAATTCAATTATGTTGTGTATTGTGATACTTAATAGAAAGTGCATCATCGGGCTGTTTTTGTAATGTCACCTTTACTAGAAAAGAAATATTTGGGAGCTGGTAGCATTCAGAAATGTAGAAGATACTTTTGTACATATTGAAAACAACTGATTTATATACATTTCATTAAATTTCCCCTACTCCTTGAGGGGACCTTGTAGAAATTAAAAAAATACTTAACCTCAATCTCTTACTATGTGTGAAGTCTCATCTTTCCCTCTTCCTCTCCAAGGCTCAAAATTATTCCTTCCTGAAATGAAAAAGAGCACATTTCCATCATGGTTAGCAAGTGTTCACATCTTTACGGTTTATGGTTCTTGTTTTCATAGTTGAGTAACTTGAACAAGTGGATGGAATTAAGAGAATTTTAGGTACAAAATTTAACCTATAAAGAGTATGGTCTACACACTGCTTAATGGCACTCTCATTCCTTGTCACTCAGTCATTTCCCCAAATTCTCTGACATGACAGGTTAGTTGAGTTCTTTTAGATTTGTTTTCAGGTGTCCAAATTTCATTGGGAATACTGGATTGTCCAATTAAATGGCATTAGTTGTCATATATGGGGTTAATCATTCAAGTATCTGTTAAGTGCCCACCGTATACAAGACACTGTGCTAGGCCTAGAGATAGGAAGAAAAAAAATGAAACGGGTTCAGCTATCAAGGAGCCTCCATCCTATTGAGATGATTGATACGTGCGTGTGCAAATACATACACGTATACAGAAATTGGAGCTAGAATGCAGGGTGTGAAAGGGGTATGATATAAAATAGGGCTAGAAAGATGGATTGTGGCTAGGTTGTGTATGAAGAACTTTAAGGGCCTAAGTCATTTATATTGAATACTAGTGGTACTTGGGGAATGAAGTGCTTTAGGAATGACACTTTGGCAACTGTTTTAAAGATTAATTCTAGAAGGGGAAGACTGGAAGCAGGGAATACCAATTAAGAGGCAGCTACAATAGGTTAAGTGATGGTGGTCATGTGAGGAAAGAGAAGGGAAAGGTTCTAGGAGATGTCTATCATTAAAGTAGTAGGGGTAGGATCAGTAAGACTTGGCAAGTGATTGGATATATGGGGCAAGGGAGAGGGAAGAGTTCATTTTATTTATTTATTTAGGCAATGGGGTTAAGTGACATGCCTGGGGTCACACAGCTACTGAGTGTCAAGTGTCTGAGTCCTGATTTGAACTCAGGTCCTCCTGACTCCAGGGCTCTATCCATTGTGCCACACCTAGCTGCCCCAAGGGAAGATTTCATGATGGACTCCAACTTGTGAACCTGGGTGACTGGGAAGATAGTGGTGTCCTCAACAGAAATAGAAGTTCGGGAGAAGATTGAGTTTGGGGGAAAATTATGAGTTCTCTTTTGGACTTACTGAGTTTGAGGTGCACATTGGAAGTCCAGTTCAAAATGTCCAATAGACAGTTGATGATGCAGTAGATTTCAAGGGAGACTAGAGCTAAATATATAGAGCTAGGCTTCATCTACACTGAACCCGTGATAGCTGATGGGGTATGCAACAGAAGAGCAGAAGGCCCAGAACAGAGCCCTGGATAATATCCATAGAGAGCGTGAGATTCTGATTGATGATCCAGCAAATGATCCTGAGAAGTGAGAGAGCAGTGTCATGAAAATCCAGAAAGACCATGCAGGAGGAGAGTACAGTCATTAGAATGAGATGGTGCAGAGAGGTCAAGAAATAGGGAGTTTGAGAAAAGGCCATGAGGTTTGGCAATTAAGAGATGATAAATAAATGAAAAATCTTCATTAAGTGCTTATGCATCAGGCACTGAGCTGAGTACTTAGGGATACAAGCAAGCATGGCAGACCTTGCCTTCAAGTAGTTTACCTTCTAATAGAGGAAGGTAATACATATAGGGGAGTGGTCACTGGGAAGGAGTGTTTTAGACTAGGAAGACAGAGGGAATGGTGATTGGAGTCAAAAGACATTTGATTGACAAGTCCTGGCCAAGCATGGTAATGTTGATTTGATAACTGCTCAGAGTTAGTGTGGGAAAAGGGTAGGGGGAATACACATGCCCTATACATGGTGTGGAAGAGGTCTTGGAAATAGTGTGCTGGGTCTGGGTCTGGGCAATAGAAGGTAAGCAATTAGAGCCCAGACTGAGGGGAGAGATTAGAGGTGGAGGCTAGAGCAAAGGATCATTGACCACTTTGGAAAGAATAGTTTCCAGTGAATAACGAAGTCTCGAGCTGGATTGCATAGTTGAGATGTGAGAAGCAGAAGCAATGAGAGTGGACAGCTTTTGAAAGGGAGGGAGGACAATAGCACGAGGAGTACATAGGGTCAAAATGGATTTGCTGAAAGGAGATGTAAGGAGAAAGTATGTTGCTAGAATCCATTCTTGTCATCCTCCCTTTGGTCAATATGGATGGTAGGCATATTTTCCGAGGAAGTAATATCCCATACTTCAGGTGGTTCTCTAGTAATGTTTTTGCCTGAAGAGAGCATACTTAACCCTCTATCTCCTGTAGTCACTCCCCTTCCTTCCCCACTAAACAGGCAGGCTTCAGTCTCTCCAGAGAGGTTATGAAGTTAGTTTCTATAAGAGATTGATTTTCAGGACAAGTATAATTAACTTTATCTTCTCAGTACTGAAGGAGATTTAAATTGTACTCTGCTAAATACAATATACTAACTTAAAGTAAGATTTCCAAGAAAAATGATAATATGCTTAGTTTTCCAAACAGTTGTTGGTAGACCAAATAATTTGAATACAGTCTGAAAATACTCATGGTTAGGGAATGGTTAGGATCATGGGCTTCAGAGTTGGAAGGAACCAATTCCTTTTACAGACAAGAAAACAGACCCAAGAATTCTGACTTACCCAAGGTTACATATGCCTTAAATAACAGCAGAGCTGGCATTTGAACCAACGACTAACTCCCGAGTGTAGTCACCATGAAATCAATTAGGGAAATTCTCTGATGGTGCAGTATTACTGTTTTATAACTGCATTCCTGTGATATCCTTAACAGATCTCCAACCTCTTTATAGATTGCATGTCATTCTTTTACAGTATTTCCAAGATGTGGTGGAATGGACTGGACAGTGTTTGAAGCAATTGAATGTGCTAAGGCTTGAATCTGTTAAATATGTTAATGACTGATAGCAGAAGGTGGGAAAATCCAAAGAGAAGATTTCTGCCAAGAGAGGGCATTAATGCTGAATGGAGAGGGAAAAAAATGATTAAAGAAAGGGGTTCTGCAGTGATCTTGGTCAGTGACTCAAGCTGAGGGGACATCTAGACTTAGCTTGTGAGACTAAGGAAGGGAACCGTACAGGGCTAGCTCCAAGGATATACAGACTCTAAATCTCTTTGCCAAATGAAAGACAATACAGTATTGTGCAAAGAGCATTGAACTGAGGGTCAGGACACCTGCACACTTAACGTGGCCCTCCCACTTTGACCTCTCTTTACTCAGTTTCTAGCTATACAGCCTATGATCCAAGGGTCATTTATAAAAGGAAAAAGTTGGGGTAGATATTTTCTGCACTCTACTAATAATTCATAACATTTGTAAAGCTCTTCAAATTTTGCAAAGTACTTTTCTATACATGATCTCATTTGAGCTTCATAACAACTCTCTAAGGTAAGTACCACAGCCCTATTTTGACAGATGGTTAAGCAACTTGCTAGGGGTCCCCTAGAAGTCAAGATTTGAACCTAGGTCCACCTGGCTCCATTTCCAACATTTTCTGTCCTCTTCATACCTAAGTAATATGATAAGCATTTGTTAAGTGCTTTCTGTGTGCCTCAAGGAGATATCCCTGGGAAGAGGTAGAGTGGTTAAGGGAGAAGAGACCAGAACAGCTTTAGGGACGTGGGGAAGGAGACATTGCTGGGAGTGGGGATAAAAAGGTTTTGTAAAAGGTGGGACCCAGGGGCTGGGCCTTCAGCATACAGAGAGGAGTGGGTCTGTTTGAGCACTGCTGTAAATGCATGAAAGTGTTCAAGTAAATAGACCACTTGGGTTGCTCCAAAGGGGATGAAAGGGAGTAGAATGAAATAGTTACAGAAGTGGGTTGGAGTCAAATCATATAAAACTAAAAAAGCTGGGCTGAGCCATTTATGTTTTGCCCAAACATCAGAGGTCTCCATAGTGGCAGGCCGCTGCATGGTCCCCAAGACGTTCATGGTGAACCAGTTGAAGGATGGGAAGATAGGTCACATCCTACCCTTCCCAGTAGTGGGGCTTATTTCCAAGATCACGTTCCCCTGCTTTGCTCGTTCTGGGCCTGTAACTGCCCCCTTTCTGCCCTGGTGTGGGCCCCCTCAAGGCAGTTATAACCTAGTCTCCACTGACTAGGCAACTGCAGAAGCCACATAGGTACCAGTTGGGAAATGACCCCTTCTCACTGCAGAAAGCCACCTCCCTGGTTCTCAGATCCTCACAGGTGCAGCAGTTGCCCCTCAGCCTCTGCACCTCTTGGCTGGCTTTGTGTTCAGTGAGAGTAGAAATTAAAAGCCCCACATCCAATCTTTTTTGGTTTTGGTGGGGTAGAGACCCATAGAATGAGTGTGCACAGATGAGTTGTGATCTGCATTAAAGATTTCATTGTTATTTTCCCCCAGAGTCCTCTTCTGAATATCCCTTTTGTCTGTTGAGGGCACCATCCTCCCTCTGCTCCCTAGGCTCACAACCTTGGTGTCGTACTTGATTCTTCACTTTGACTACTCCTCATATCTAATCAGTTAGCCAAATTTTGTTAGTTCTACCTTCACATCATCTGTCCTACTTCCCTAGTTCAGGTCGTTGTCACCTCTCATCTGAACTACTGCAGCAATCCTAATTGGTCTCCTTGCTTCAAGTGATTCCCCACTCCAGTCCATCCTCCAGGCAGCTGCTCGAGTGATTTACCTAAAGTATAGGTCTGCCCGTGTCACTGGGGCCACTGTTAATACCTCAAGATAAAATATTTTCTCATTTTTTATTTATGCATAAGAATCATAATGTATATAATTATTGCCGAAGTAGTATGCAGTTCTGCCTCTGAAATATGTAGATACTGGGGAGTGCAGATTCAAGATTTTTTTAATGATAGGAATGCACCAATAGAAAATTTTGGAGACCACTGCTCCCAGGCAATAGACATTTACCTAAGCCTGTTTTCTCCATAAAACAAAAGGGTTGGATTAGATGAGGGGAGGGGAGCCTGTG